GACTCCTCAGAATCAATCAATCCTTCTGTTTAAGGCCACCATGGCAGATTAGAACACAAAAAGGGATAAATCAATGGCCTTATTGTTCCCCAAGTGTTACTTTCACAAATGCACTGAACAATATCCATTTAGTGATGATAAAGTGTCAATAAAGTGGACGTATAGGTTACCGCCGAGGAAGGCGCGGATCAGTTTGCACCCATGGACGTTTAATATTTTAATGATCATTGCTCTCTCGTAGCGATAAATAATTATCAAACCATGCGGCAAAACTTTGCAGCCTTCCTGTTCTGAAGCGCAGACACGAAACTGCTGCAGGACAGTGAATCAGACTTTGACTGAAACGGCCCAACTGAATGGGAATATTTGCTTCTCACGCAATGCAAAGGCACAGAGGCTTTTCAGATCAAAGTAAAATGCTTAGCTTACATTCTTGTGTGCCTCCATGCTTTCTTTCTTTTTTTTTTCTTTCCCTCCCTCCTCCTCCTTTTTTGCACCGAGAGATTGTACTAAAGGGAATAGCCTGTTGTTCTCTTTGAATGTTTAAGTAGGTTTGTACTTGAGGGGGAACTATAACATCAGCCTACATTCACACAATGTTGCACAACAAATGAAGCAAAGAATGGCTAAAAATAAACACGGAAGACCTCTGATGTGGAGGGAAAAAAGTGTGAAACTCGCATCACGCGAAGGGGGAAAAAAAAAAAAGGCTGATTAGAAATTGGACGTTTTGGAATGATGGCCACGGCATTCGAGGCGTTCTATTCAAAATCAGTGACTGCCATTTTGTTGTGTACACACTAATTAAAGAGCAAGGATCCATTGTTGCTGCGGTAACGGTATCTAAAAACAAAATCTTTGTACCGGTGCACTAATGCCGAGGACACTCTGACAGCTGAAGTTAGTCATGTTAAATATTCCACATCTGACTGATCTAAAATCCCAAATATTAGCAGGACAAAAAATGATCAAAAATATTAAATTAAGTGGGAACCTGTGGTCGACTTGAAACAGAACGTCCCCACAGTCTAAATAATTCATCTGGCATCGAGTCACTCAAATCACTCCCCCTGTTTTCGACTCCCCGACGGAGCCTGTGAATACTTTAGGTGCACAGCTCAACTTTTGCAAAAGTTGCTATCGGAGGGGAGCAGGCTTTGTGCTGCTGCATAATCCAAGCAGCGCACATTAAAATCTATTTCCACGGGCTCCTCCTTTCACTCAATATATTGTTTATACCTTGAGCTGATTGCACCTAAGCCACATCTCACCGGTCTCGAGCTGAATGTGTACACACAACATGCACACACAAACACGGGTCCTGTAGCCTTTCCAATAACCAATTTCCAATCCTATTTCTGTGCCCTTTTCCCACTGTGATTTTTTTTTTTTTCTGGCTCCGAGATGTGAGCACCCGCTTGAATAAATATTAATGGTAATTCTACGAGCAATGCCCACTCACGAGTGTGCTGGAAGAACAAAAGGCCTTGTTTACAAGTGCGCTTGAGAAAAAGCTAAGGTGCGGAGGGCCTACGAGGGCCTCCGAGGTTGGCTCTGCGGCGCTGTTGACTCACAATGGAGTGCTGATTGAAACACACTCTTAACTTCCAGCACAGGGTGGCAGCGAAGATGGCAAAAAAAAGGAAAAAAAACCTCAACGCGACGAATTCCTATTCAAGCGCCGCGAGGACGGAGCTGGAGAAATCAAGCTCACGAACTTGCAGCCTCTACTTAAACTCATTTAAGACAGAGCTGAAAGGTAATTAGGTTTCTGGGAACAATAAGTACTCAGTACCTTGTGTAGCTCCAGCCTCGCTCCAGACATTTTCTTTGGTATAATTAGGGGAGGTGTGAATTCCTCATCAGATGGATCACCATCTGCATTCACACACCACTTGCTCGTTCCCCCAATCCCCAGCTACGAGCCCATGTTCGTGCTGATTATCATTCAGCAGGTGGAGATGGGAGGGATGGAGGCGAAGGGCTTCACTTTTTTAAGGTTCTTTCAGTGCTATGGGCCTCCAGCGGCTCGCCATGCAAAGGTTAATCAATTCTGAATGATGAGCCATAAAAGCTTTAATAATGCAGTCATTCTCTAATGAGTGGTCCTGCATGCTTGCCCAGGAAGGCCCGATTGTTTTAGGAAGCTCCGACGTTCCAATTACAAAGCATTCAAGCATTCGCCAACAGCCCAGAGAACGCTGGACACAGTGAGGGTCCAGTGAACAGGACAATGAGCCTGGCAGCGTAGAGCTAATGTCGGCTGAAGATGGGAAACAAAAGAGACCCATCACACGGCTGTCAATATAAACCTAATGCTGACTACTGACTTGCCCTTCAGCGGAAAGTTTTGAGTGCCCCTTTCAAGTTTTAGAAATCACCTCAGAAACTCTCCTCAAACCTGGAGCAAAGACAGAACTTATCATACACGCTATAGAGCCATAAAACTTCAGAGAGAGGAGATTGGGGCGGAGAGATGGATTAACAAAACATCCAACGTCAACAAAGGGGCGCTTTTCGTTTTATACCAACAGTCAGCGGTAGTTTCTTTTAACCGCAACCACTTCCGTTTAACCAAGTAGTTATTCCTTTAACCATGAAGACAACTATTTTCTTTTAACCCAAACCATAATTATTCCCAAACTCTAATCAAGAGCAGTCTTTCTCGACAATGGAAATGTTTGGCTACTTCTCACGTCATCATTAAACAACTGGGGAAACTACATTCTTAACTAAAGGCTATATTGGGATCCCAATCAAGTGGTATTAGTGTGCAAAATACCCAGGCAGCAATCAAACGAATGCTTTTCAAAGGGCACACGGTATTGTATTTTTTTTCCAGGACTATGGATTAAAATTGAGATTATGAGATTTTCCCATAAAGAGAATTATTTTAGTCTCTCAATCAAAGAAAATCATTGTAACTACAGACAATCCCTGCGTCCTTGTTGGAAAAGAGTCATCTGAGGTCAGATCACTACGGGATGAATAGTGACCTCTTATTAAATATCTCATATCACTCAGTTATGCCACGTATTATAAAGAAAAAATATATTAAACCTGCGCTGGTTTTCTTTCCGCACATTCAATTTATTCTTTTCACTGCAGTCTTCTGTAATTCCAGCCTTCATTTTAAAGGTATTATTCTGTCCTGCTGTCCTGCCATTGAACAGATGGAGAGGGTCGCCTTGCCTTGAAGAGCTGCTAACCACGGAGGAATTTGATTAGTCTGGGTTTCAAAGAGGAGTTCTAGCAGCACGTTATGATCTAAATACTAATTCAGGGACTAATTCGCCTCCCATACCATAAAACAAGAGAAAAAAATCAAGGAATCATTGTCTAGTTTACACACATTAATGATCACCAAAAAACTTAAATTCTCAGCTATCTGATCCACGCGGGTCAAATGCGCTGATTATAGTGTTACAGCACGTTAAAAGGCGGCACTTACTCAAAATGATAAACATGACACTCTTTTGGCCAACACTGCACTGGCTTTCACAACGGCTAATGGCTAAATATTCCGCCAGGTTAACCGCATAATTGTGTGTTGTCAACATGCCACGTGCAATTATGAGTGACCACAAAAGAGCATGTGTTAATTGTTATGTTTCCCTTTTTGTCCTGAAGGTTATCCTCCTCCCGACATCCTCGCGTCCTTGGCCATGCAACCCCTTGGCACATTCCAGCTCATGTCTCTGTCACGAACCGAGCCACGCAAAATACATCATCCCCAACGCTACATCCCTCCTCTCACATTCATTCAGCCGATCGCCTCCATCTCTTTTCTCCGTCTCTCCCGCAGACACACACATCTCATAAAATGGGATATTTACTGTGTTTTTTTTGCAGCGAGCCACATGCAGCTAGACATTTCTGAAGAGAAAATTGGAACATTAGCAGCTTATTTAAGACGAAAATGATGACATGAATGTCAGCGACTAAACCAAAATGATGGTGATGTAAAAGCAGCGGGACACGAGTTACCCAAACATGGCAGGGGACAGGTGTAGTTATCCAGAGACAGAAGTTGTATATCCAACTAAAGCCTCAATACTCTCTGTGCAGCCTTCTTTTTATCACCATAGTCAGAACATAGTCTTTAGGGCCAACTGTGTTTCACGGATGCTCAAGCATGAAAGAGGAATCTTGTTGGTTGGATCCATAGAAATAATGAATAAAAAAAGGCTTTAGAGTTTGTCACTGCGAAACACAGCATTTTAATTACGGCAAATTCCCTCGAGACCGAGCTGCAAATACACTACTAGCTCTTTAGGTACCGCTGGGATTCTGCATCATTGCTAAGCTAATAATGTTTGCTACTGCACTGCTGATGTACACATTAAATTAATCTGGGTAATATGCATACTGGAAATATTATGGATCATATCAGACTATAGCCATTAATGTTAATGGGGAATCATTACCGTAGTTTGCATATGAGAGGTTTTCAAAATTAAGCTGTCAATCGACATGGTCCTAATGTCTAATGTTCTCTCAACTGTGGGCTCCTTGCTACCGTAGTGCATATCATGGAAACTGTGCAACGAGTGGTACACTTCAGCTTTGAAGAAATAGATCAACGTTATGGGGAAATGTAGTGATTTACCGTTAAGACTGAGACTACTAAGGGCAAAACTGACATAGGAGATAGTCCGCTTAGGGGCTAACACCTAAACTTAATTTGTTTGTTTCCATATTTAAACAGTTTTTAAGAGGTTACAATAAATATTTCTTGAGGTCTTAGATCTTTAAGACTTGGTAAGTGAAAATTGTCTCCTTGCATTTTTATTTGTTATTCTATAAAAAAAGCAAGACACAGTGTGATATTTCTTGAGAGGTGTTGGTAGGTATAGGTATAGGCTCAGCAATTCTCGATTCAGCTCCATAACTCACACACACTGGCATCCATGGAACTCTTGGACAGAGAGAACACTGCACTGCATTGAAGCTGTCCAAATCCACATAATTGACAAACCTCTCAATGTAAAACTCCTTACCTGCTTGACCAGTAGCAATGCTGACCGCCGCAAACAGCCTCTGCGTCCGGCTCAGGTCTGACACCCCGTTGACAGCCTCCACCTCAAAAGTGTAGTTGGCATGGGCGAGCAGGTCCATAATGGTCACATAAGTGTCCACTAATCCTGACTGCGCAGGAGAGTATCCCACATTTGGCCCACACGGTACACACTCCTCGGGTTCCCAGCTGCAGCGCCGGCATATAACCCTGTAGGTGACGTCGTTGCGACCGCCGGTGTCGGCTGGCGGGCTCCACTCCAGGCTAACGGTGGTCTGGTTGATGTTGTAGACCAGGTTCTGTGGCGCTGAGGGAGGTCCTGTCAGAGGTGGACACAGGAGAAGCCAGAATTAAATAACCGAGTGCCAAGGAAAGTGACAGCCAAGAGGGTGCATTGACTGGATCTGTGCTTTCACTGTTCTCTGAGAAAGAAAGAAAGAAAAAAAAAAAAAAAAGCTACAGGACATGCCAGCTCCAGCCCCAGAGCCAAACACTGACACTCAATTATAATAAGACTCACATCCAGAAAAAATGGTGCAGGTATACTGAAAGGAAGTGAGCTCTGGCAGGTACCAAGGTCAGTGTTAGAGGGCTAAGAAATAAAGTGGTGGAGCCCAGACTTTCAAAGAGAAAATAATTTGGTAATCAGAGTTCATGCCAGTTCCTTTGCCACTGTTTTTATGAATTATCATTAGGGGAGCAGTGCATCCGTCGAACACCTCTACTTCCATCAACATCCCTAACACTGTAATTAAATAGAAAGTGAGATTATAAAGTCCAAAGGGTCTTTCATTTCAATGCAGGTACACTGACATAGCCAGTACAATTCAAATCAAAAGTTTCTTGTTCTGCAGCTAGAAACAGTGAGTTGACTAAAACTGAAAGTGAGACACAACGGATCAGAAAAGCTGTTATCCTGAGAAAACAATACGACTAGATGTAATGTTTTAGTATTAGATCTGCGAGATTTTAGCTTTTAAACTACTATTATCTTCAAATGCAGATAAATTAGGCTCAATCAAATTAGTCCAATAAACTCAAAGTTTTCTTTGGATGAGCCGCTTCAGTTTTGACGTACTGTTGTAAACATGTTGGCAAACTACTGCCTTTTATCTATATATAAATCCTGCAACTGTAAGATAGATTAGAGTCACTAAGAGGAAATGAAACATACTGAATCAAAAAAATAATAAAAAAAAAAATAGATGCAGCATGGCTCAAAATGTGTATACAGAGGACAAACTGTTGGACGATACATTCTGCATGGTGAAACAACTTTATAGAGCTGATGCGTAGAGCAGCAGTGAAAAAGTTTGCAAAGGTTATAAACATGTAAATAGTTAAATATCTATAATTGTAGCGTCTCAATTTCCCCCCCAGTGTTAGTAACACCTGTGGACACTTTGAGAAATGTTGCACATGTTGATTCCATATTTTTTTGAGAAATTCAACTTTCTTATTGTTTTGAACAATGATTTATAGCAGCCAAATATCAGCATAAATTAGGTGTTGCTTTGAGTCCAACATTCCCTCGTCTTTGCATTTTGTTTTGGTCTCCACCAACTCCTCAGCAAAAGATCCGTCTCCATACCATGTTGTATGCTTCACTAGTTCACCACAGCATTTTCAAAAACAAAAGCTGTTGATTTAAGTCTGTAGAAAACCAGTAAGATTAACTAAAAGAAAAGCTGCCAAACTGTTAAAAGGGTAATTTTCTTTCAGTCTGCCACCACAAGTGACCCTTTTCAAAAACTACAAATGGTCATTTGATCCACTGTCAATATTAAAAATAACGATTAGTGCAGCCTTAAAGCAAGCCTGCTTCCTCGTATTTTAATTTTAAACCAGCCTAATGCTCTTTTACAGTGTACTCATGCATGCAAACATAGCTGGTGATTCATCCAGATGGACTAAAGGCTTTGTTTATATTGTGAGCGTTAACAGCATAAAATCTGCAGCTGCTATGGAAATGATTGAGACAGGGCTGCATGGTCAGACAAATGCTTAGCAGGAAATCAGAAGCCACAGACAGTCACTCGCAAAGTCTTCCTGTTCTCCAAAAATATATGCAGCTATCCCAGCTGGAGACAGCGGCTTTACTGGGTTTCCTCGGAAAGGTATATCATGTAGACAGCCGCGCACTTAAAATTAATGTCTTCCAAAAAAAACTTTAAGGCCTGTCTCACCCGCAGAGTTTATGAACAAGATTTAAACCTGGATTATCACCGCCCTGTAACTGCCATATACAATTTCACTTGACATACAACAACAACTAGCTCGGCGGCATCAAGAGTGCACAGGACTACAGACCGTTTGCCTATAAATGTTTGAATAACGGCAAAGAGATTAGCTCATCTCGTAAAACAATGAATAACAAATTGCTGCTTTCATCTTTCACATTCCAGGTTGTTGGCTTTTATGGCCCAGATGTTGATATAAATAAACTCCCCCTAACATAGTAAAGATTATATGACTTGTGTCCTTTGTTTATAAATGTTTTAAGAATATCTTCATTTTTGTTGTCGGGGAGTTTCTCAGGAAATATTCTTGGTGGGAATCTAGGGGAGGGACCTTGCAACTCATGAAATTTGTCACATTAGCTAACGAAATAGGTCATGCATATGCATTCAACTGCTATCACAATATTCATTAATGCTGCACTTAGCTGTTTTTTTCCCCCCTTTTCCAGCCATTAGAACAGAGGGCTCAGCGGAGACATCCATATTCATGATTATCAGGTAAGATAAGAGACAGGCAGTGGACTGGGAAGATGAAAGAGCCACCTGTGGCAGGTGAAGTGGAGAGGAGTGACTGCCAATAGCACCACTCGACTTCAGCCTTGGCATTGACACTCGACCCACACTCTCAATCTTCCTCGTGCACAAAGGGAGGGGTGTGCCTCGACACAACACCCCCCCTCCCCAAGACCAAACCTCAGGGATCTTTTATTCTGCCATTTCCATGGCCACAGAAAGCAATGATAACATCTCATTTCACTCGTGCCACTCTCAGTCGGGTCTCAGGTGCCACAGATCAAAGCAGTGATTTCTTGGCAACAAGAGGCGAAAGGAAATTAGATTAGACTGACCCTGGATCTGCGTGACCTTTGTCTTTTGTCCTGTTTTTTTTTTTTTTTCAGACTCTGAGATACGAGCTTTGTCTTTGGTCTGTGAAGGCCTCGGTAGGTTTGAAATGAAGTGCCTGACAGACGACTGGAACTTCCGAGTTCTGTAACTTTTCTTAACCGTGTGCAGAGTTGTGGGAGTTGGCGAGGTTTGAACTTCTCTCTTAAGCCGTCTTCATCATTTATCACATCCCATCGTACAATGACGGCTTTCGAGAATGCTGAGAATGGATGGTGTCGATTGTCGTGTCAAGGCTGCGAAGACGAGCAAAAGACACAAGTTCTTAGAGAGCGATAAAAGCAGAGAGAGAAAGACGACGGATGCCTTTTGCCCAGCCTTTGAGGGTGTCCACTTAAAAAAAAAAAAAAGGTGTACACATTTTTCCCTTGACATGGTAGAGAAACATATTACACAACCAAGTTTGTTTGAAGCATACTGAACACCTCAGCTCTCTTTATTCTTCCTCTGTCTCGGCGCCTCTTTGTTTCTCTAAAAAAATGCTCTGTCTGGACTCAGGAACACGAACCTCTTCTTGCCCCGACGTCACCTGCAGCACAGATTTGCACCACATCCTGAGCCCTCCGCTGTCTGTCTGTCTGTCTGCTCATCCTTATAGCTCAAGGGCTTGTCGCGCTCCTTCTTCTTTTTTTTTTTTTTCTTTTTTTTTTTTTTTTTCCTGTCTCTCACTCCCCCACTCTGTCTTATCTTTTCGTGTTCTCTCCTCTCACCCCTCCTCCCAGTCAAGTTTCATTTCACGGATTAGCCTGCCAGAGCCCCCACAGCCTGAAATGTCTCAATCACTTGCTAGCTTCCCTCCAACTCTGCCACTGTGACCAAGCATGGGTGAACATGTGTGTGTGCGAGGGTATTTTTTGTTGTTGTGCATAAATGCGGAATATGTGCATGCATAGTTGATGCTTCCTGCTACAGCGTTTGCATGCTAACATAGATTTTTGAAGCAGAACCTGAACTCCCATGTGTAAAAGCTGTGAGAAAAAAGACTTCAGCTGCGCAAGAAGTAACTACAACATCTAATAATCTACCGTATAGAAAACGTATAGCAGCAGATCGTTTTTAGGTCATGTTTCAAAGCCCATCTCCACTCTGTGCAGAGTTGTAAGACCTGAGTAAATCCAAGCTTAGGAGGGAAGAATCTGCCGCTTATCGGCCTTGAGAGGTGCTCGGGGCTAACTTAACCCTCCACAGCCTATTAGCTGGCTGTGGTCTAATTGGGGAGCTGTGGGGAGAGGGGCGGCAGGGGTGAGTGGTATTCAAATCGCCCATGAGGTAATCCTCACTCTACAAATGTGTGTTGTGACCCTGTGACTTCGCCTCTACTGATGTGGCTGCAGCAGAACCCGTATGAGGGAAGACAGGGCCAAAGAGGGAAAAGAGCTCGGAAGAAGAGTTTTTTTTTTTTAGCAGAAAGGTCTTTCGACTGCCGTTGTCCTCATAACCAAAATATCAGTGCTACTTCAACCCCACACTGAATTCAATATTGGATTTGCTACTCGCACACAATGCGTGCTGCAAGCCGAAATTCCATTTCAGTCTCCATCTCTGGAGAGGGCACGATGGCACGTGGACGGGAATAAAAAATTAAAGCAGAGCATGGCTAAGGCTGTGCTAGAACAATACGCAAACTCTTTTGTGCACCTCAGATGCATGAGCTAAGAGCTTTGAGAGTTTTTTATTTATTTATTTTTTTCTCTTATGTGGCTGCTGAAATATATGCAAAAAAATACACAAATCAAGTTCCAACTTGGTGGAGCGACACGGTGCTGGGTCTCCCATGCCCAGCAATGTTTGTGAAACCATCCGCCTTTGAACAATGACCAAAGCCTCTGAGATGTCGTAGATGCGCTTACATGTGGTAGCATTTGTGATTCTTGTTTTGAGTGAACTGGCTGTATTTGCATGGCCTCATCTAATTACAGACTGGACACAAAAAACACACAGTGATTTACATTGAATTTTCATGTGCATGACCAGGGCATGGGCCTTACAGCTTAAAGGATAAGTCTGGTTTATTACAGTCAACCCATCATTTCTACCAAAAATTTCAACCTTGTGCATACCAATGTGACAGCTGGATTATCATATCACCATGCCATTACATGTTTCCCAAAGCAGACATCTGCCCCATATGTGAAAGGTCCCCAGAGGCCTTAGATTACTTCTGCAGCAAGTACTT